CCCTTAGTAAAGTTTTCACAGTGCCCCAAAGCTCTCCCTTCATTAATTTCGTGTATGTCCGTGTGTATAACGAACTAACTAATTTCATGGAGCTGAGCCCTTCTTGAGAAGCCGCCAGTTGCGCAGCTACTCAAAAACTTTCCAGTATTTTATGGAACCCGAAGGTTCATTACAGTGTTCACAAGAGCCCTCCACTAGTTCCTATCCTGAGCCAGAATATTCCAATCCATACCACGCCATCCTATCTCTCTAACATCCATCTTAATATTATACACCCACCTACGTCTAGGCTTTCCTAGTGGCCCCTTTCCTTCTGGCTTTCCCACAGATATCTTGTATGCATTCTTCTTCTCCCCCATTCGTGCTACATGCCCTGCCCACCTCATCCCCTTGACTTGATCATTCTAATTATACTTGGAGAAGAGTACAAGTTATGAAGCTCCTCATTATGCAGTTTTCTCCAACCTCCTGTCACTTCATCTCTCTTCGGTCCAAATATTCTCCTCAACACCCTGTTCTCAAACACCCTCAGTCTACGTTCCTCCCTTAATGTCAGAGACCAAGTTTCACGCCCATACAGAACCATAGGCAAAATTATAGTTTTGTATATTTTTAACTTTTATTTTTTTACAGGTGTCCGTTTAGTATAAGAATTAACGACTATTAATTTATTAATTATGCATATTTTATTTTATATAATTAACCTTCTCTTCCTCCCCGCGTGGAGGCGGCTTAGGGTACCTCCACCGTAGGCCTGCGAGTAGGAGGGGTATAACTGGGCCACCCTGTCACTGGGGGACATAAATACAGGGACCTGGTACTCCAGGTTGGGGGTTGGACGCAGGGTTGAAAACCTCGCTGTGTGAAAAAATTACTGTTGCGAAATCCGAAGAAGTGGAAACCGGATGTAATATGGCAAAATCTCCTGAGGAAGGGTATGGTTGAAAATGGGCTCAATAGGGGCTCAAAAAAGGCGAATGATGATTCTTCTCGAGATGCAGTTCACAAGATTTTGCGGCACATTGGTTGAGAACCACCGCTCTAGAAGTCAGCCATGAACAGTGGCTGTAAGCAGGTTATCTGAGCTGCCTCCCCCCACCTCCACCGTCCAATGAATAATTGAAAGGTCCCAGCCGTGAGAGCACAATTATTTATTGGGTCACCCAGCCGAGAGATGTCTGCTAGTGGGTGGGCCGGTCGCCCGTCCACCGGGGACAGTGACAGATGAGAATCGCAGTATAGATCCATTGATTGGATAAGACAGAAGCCAAGGAATGAAGTGGCGGCCAATAACGCGACGAGCAGCCTCTTCTGGACAACATGGCTGCCCGAAGTGGACGTCCTCGAGAGGACTCTCCACTTACGTCACTCTTCTTGCAAGCTGCACTGCAACATTTGCATAGGCCGGTCTGGAATGGACGTCACAGAATTCCCCGTTTCCCATTGTTCTGAACCAGGTTTTCCTTTTTCCTCTTTGCTGCAGGAGTTCTGATGTTGAAACGCATTACAATTTGAACTAACTCTTTCACACGTTCAAGTAGCATTCCTTCTGTAACGATTGCACTTCATTACAGGGTGAGGCGTTCTTGACAAAGTCATGTCTGTCTGCCTGTCGCCAAGTATCAGCGCCTAAAATACTGGACGCATTTTTTTATCTCTCTCCGTCCGATATGGGGATTTTCCACAAGAATATTCCTGACCATACCGGGACTCGAACTCCGACCACTCACACGTCCAGCCCCCAGCCAGTCGCTATACCGACTGCGCTAGCCCAGCTCCCTAAAGTTGCTTCTGTCCTTTACTTATTACTTAACAAATTAAGCACTAAGTCATGAAGACGATTGTGGATGTGGATCTGTAGATCCATATATTCTTGATCTAGGCACTAAGTGGAGGTGTATGGTCAGTTTCGCGCCCCGGCCGCTTTATCCCGGGAAACAGACCCCGGTTTCCATTGAATACGAGGCTGGGTGAACCCCAGAGCCGGTCTGGACGACGTGGAGAAAATTCTTGATCATACCGGGACTCGAACTCCGGCCACTCGGTCTTTCAGCCCGTAACCAATCACTATAGTGTCGCAACAGCCAAGGAAACTTTTCGGGTTCATGTATAATCGCAACATTGACGTTATAGGGTTCTGACAGCGTCACAAAAAGACCATGACAAAGTAGACAAGAAATGGGAGAGAATTCTAAAGTGACAACAGACGGGCTTTCCAGGAACGTAACTCTTGACAAGGGCCGTCGATTCCCCTCTGTTTCCCGGTATCAGAGCGCAGAGGCTAGATGATGGATTGTATCGGCCGACAGGGTCAGGCTGGGAGCAGGTAGTGCCTGGCCTGGCAGCTTGTATCGTCGCCTGAAATCAGATCAGCTGGCCCGTGTTGAAGGCTTCCCGCTGCTTCCATCACGTAACAAGGCTCGCACCCGTCTACTGTTGCAGCTAAGGGTGGAACCGAGTTGTTCAGCGGCATCTTCATTCATGTTATTTCTACTGGGTTTCCTGTTTACTCTCTCATTTCCACGCAATTTCCCAAGAGAATTTGTTTAGGATTTCAAGATACTCTCTTATTTTCATGTAATTTCCCAAAGAATTTGTTCAGGATTTCAAAATACTCTCTCATTTCCAAGCAATTTCCCAAGAGAATTTGTTTAGGATTTCAAGATACTCTCTTATTTTCATGTAATTTCCCAAAGAATTTGTTTAGGATCTCAAGATATTTACTCCCTTATTTTCATATAATTTTCCAAGAGAATATACTCTCTCATTTTCATGTAATTTCCTAAGAGGCTTTGTTTAGGATTTGTCAGCTTCTACTGACTCATTTCTCGTATAATTTCTAGGCTCTATTAGGCCTGCTTTTAGGATCCGTAAACGTTACAGAATTAGAGGCCCACTTAAAATAACTTTCCATAATGGCACAAGACTTCGATTCCGTTCAACAGCTATAAACACATGTCCTGTATTGGAGTTCCCACAGACACGACAAAGATATTTACGAAACGCTGGGGCAGAGCACTTTGCATTTCTGTTTCCATACTCAGGCGGCTCTGTGTTCGAACCCAGACATGGAGACCGGCTCTCTCAAGCCAAACAGTGGGACAGTCTCTTCGCATGCTTTCCAATTGACTGATCAAACCAATTTCCTTTTTATGCTCCACAGCCTCTGTAATTGCAATAAAAACGTGAGATTTGAGGTTATGATATTTGTGACCGCGAAGATTACCATTTTTGGGATGTGACGCCGTTTAGTCTTGGAAATCATTACCAACATTTCGGAGGAAACTGCGTCATCCTGAGAGGCGAACAGTAATTCTTTTATCCTGAAGACAGAGACACTAATTTCCTCCGAAATGTCGGTAAATTGTACGGTATCACATCACAGAAGACGGTAATCTTCAGTTATAAAGAAATTATGGAAATGAAACCGTCTGCACTGGAAATCAAAACACGACAGGGGCGGAGAGTTTGAGTTAGTAGCTGCAGTTTCAGTGGCAACAGCTGTACATGTTTACGTATTAAAATAACGAGCAAGAGCAGTCGCTCTGACTTCAATACTCTGTAATGAAGGTAATTTTATTTTCCGTTGCTACGTAACGCAATATCGCACTGCGCAAAATGGCAGAATTAATAGACAAATTATCGTACGAGCCTATTGGAGGAGAACACGTAAATATTTAAACAAATTTAACGTTAGTTAATACAAATAACAGCGAATCTACGTGAACGTGTATATTCTTGAAAACCCAATTATCAGACGTTACTAACCTGTACTCTTCTGCGAGTATAATTAGAATGATCAAATCAAGGAGGATGAGATGGCAGGGCATGTAGCACAAATGGGGGAGAAGAGGAATGCATGTAGGATATTTCTGGGAAAGCCAGAAGGAAAGAAACCACTGGAAAGATCAAGGCGTAGGTGTGGACAATATTAAAACTAATTCTATAGAAATAGGATGGTATGGATTGGACAGGGACGAGTGGAGGGCTCTTGTGAACACGGAAATCCTGGGAAATTCTTGAATAGCTGCAGAATTGACGGCTCCTCAAGAAGGGCTCAGCTCCATGAGTAAGTACTTTGTAATTGATAAAAGCCAAGTTAAGTTTCCGCGTGAACTCGGCCGTCTGTAACTTTAATATTGGGACCGGGGGTTCGAATCCCGCTCGGTATATGGACGTATATCTGTTTCTTCTGTGTTGTTTATTTTGTATACAGAGGCACTGCAACGGACCGGCCCCGTAACCAAGGAGCAGGGAGGAGAGCAGTAATATGCTGCTGGCCCTCGCCAGCACAGTCATTATTGAAGTCAGGCCTCTTCGTGACACATCATTATATTTTTCTTCATACAATGACCACTTGCGTTTTTCGACGAGACGAAGGGGGGGGGGGGGGTTGACTACCTCTCCAATTCAAGGAGTCCTGCCTAGGTAAGGATAAACGGGAGGATTTAGACCGCCCTGGTATGATACGACATAAAACCTAAATTTATTCCCAAGACCTAAAACATGAAGACTTGGGGAGGGGGGAAGTGAAAGCATAAATTCACCAACCAGCACGATGGAGGTGAGTGGTCAGCTTCGCGCTCTGGCTACTTTACCCCGGGGTGAGCCTCAGAATCCATTGGATAGGAGGCAGGGAAGGCCCCACAACCTGTTTGGACGAGAATAGAAAAAACTGTTACCTTCACGGTACTTGAACCCAGACCCGTCGGCCGTCCAGCACGTAGCCAGTCGCTATACCGACTGAGCTATCCCGGTCTCTTATGGAGGGGGAAATAAAACCAAAATTAATCTTAAAGGAATAGGATAGGAGGGTGAAGATTGGATTCATTTGGCTCAGGTGGTGGGACATTTTGAACACGGTAATGAACCCTTGGATTCCATAACATGTTGGTCGTCACCTATCTAGTTAAGTCATCTATCTAGCTAGGACACCATCAGCTTCTCTAGAAGGTCTCACAAGACGTGACGAACTCAGAACTTGCGTTGTTCCGTTACAGACCTGCTACATCCTAGCGAGCTCTCGTCTTCAATGGAGTCTCTGGCCTACGATGCTTCCGTGGGGTCTCCTGGCAACGGCCAACAGCAGCGCACCAAGCGCATGCGCACCTCGTTCAAGCACCACCAGCTGCGGACCATGAAGTCTTACTTCGCCATCAACCAGAATCCTGACGCCAAGGACCTCAAGCAGCTGGCCCAGAAGACAGGACTTTCCAAGAGGGTGTTACAGGTGAGGGCGACAGCGGTACTATACCACACAGTTACGGTTTACTCAGCCACGGCCACTTCCTCAGTATTCTCCAGTTCATTAAGCACTAGGCATACAAAACTCCATCTACGCTATGAACTAGGTTACGTCATACCTTGTGTGGGCAACCTTACGGAAGAAAAGTCCCTATACAAGTACGTTTGAATTTCCCATCGGCGTATTAACACTGAAAGTGTGCTGAAAATAGAAGCTAATAACTTTCTAATGATGACGAAACGGTCTACGTCACTAACCGATGATGTTGCATAGAAACGGCAGTTATTCAATTGTTGTCTGCGTATTCGTTGCAGTGAGAATGGGTTTCGCGACCCGTTGCGTAGCAATGGATCATATTCCACGAAAATATTTATGATTATATATGTATACATCCGATGACGGTGAACCAGGACCGAAACATATATTGTTCAATGTAATAAACTGATTAATCTATTGACATATTCAATTCAATCGCTTATTGTATCTAACAGAATTAATGTGTTGCGTGATGTCATAAAATGTAAAAGGTAAAGCTGTCCCTTAACAGGCCGTGGAGACCCACAGGGTTGTGAGACGTCGAGGCTCCTACGTTTTCTAGACAATCGGCTCACAGATAGCGGTGAGGGTGTCAGCCATATGCGCCAACCGCCTTTTACCCCCAGGAAGATTCCTAGTACTCATTTCTGTTAGAGGCTGAGTCGACCCCAGGGCCATAGTGCGGCTGGAAGGTTTAGGTCAATTGAAAAAAAAATTCAGTGACCTCACCGCGACTTGAACCCGCGACCTTCCGGCTTGTACGTAGCATAGTGTCCCAAACAACTACGCTACCGTGTTCCTAATGGTGGGAATCGAACTCCGGTACCTCTGCCGTCCTGACTGTAGCTACGATAAATGCCGTTACTTAGAGCAAGACGGAACACCTCACGAAATGAAAGCCTACATACGCCGCTGAAACTCCTATAGTCCCTGTGGATGGGAGTTGAACACCTGAGCATCAGTAGTCGCGATTTGATGAAAAATGTTACTATCGACCCATCGATTAGAGAGTTAATTGGTAAGTCGCGACCTGCGGGTCCTGTCATAGGCAGAACGTCAGTTCCAGAACTGCGTGCCAGTACGCAGGCGTCAGTTCGCACCGTCTCTTCAGACAGAACGCAATACTGAGCTTCAGGTAAACTTACATCTGCTACATAGCTTACTGCACCAGTTACTAACAAAATTATTAATGCATAACCTTATAAAAATCAAGAACGGGCATTTCGTTAATTAAATATGAAAATTTATCACGATATAAGATTTCAGATTTTCACGGCGGTGACTATGAAGAATGTGGCACCGTGTGGATCTTGTGGCTAGCCATCTGCTCAAGCTGGTTCCTCGCTCGCGGATTTTTCTACCTTGAAGATGGAGGCGATACGTTTATCCGAAACGTCGGTTCACATAAGATCTACACGGCGCCACATCCCAGAGAGGCAATCTTCAATATATCATTAATTTATGCCCTAAAACAAATATTTACTAGAACAGCCATACTCATTTCCAGCAATTCTGGAAGGTGACTTGATGGAAATTAGCATATGCAGACGCTAATGGAAATAGATGACATACCCCTAAGTCCAACCGCGTGATATCTTAACAACTATAACATCATCATCATCACTGGCAAAACGGCCCTTTTTTGAGCCATACCGTTCCTCAGAAGATCCCGTTTTGCACTCCTTTTGAATCTGCAACAATCATCTTCAGCCCTGGGTCCAACCCCCAACCTGGAGTGCCAGGTCCCTGTATTTATGTCCCCCAGGAATAGGCTGGCCCATTTATACCCCCAGGTACTAGGTTCCCTTTTCTTTGTCTTCTACTACTCGCAGGGCTACGGTGAAGGTATTAGACCCCGCCTCCTCAAGGGGTATAATATATTTTCATTTATTTATATTTTATTTAACACTGCTGTCAGTAGATCAGATTGTATTGTGTGGAATGAAAGTAAAATGAGCGAACGATGAATTGCAAAGGATATGAAAAGAAGAGGCGATTCCTGTTTCAAAGTATACAATTCCTGCACTCGCTTGGAGAGCCTTTAGAAAGCCACGAAAATCATCAGTAACAATATCCGGTGTCCTGTTCGAGATTCGAATCAAACACCTTCCGAATAAAAATCAGAAGCTTTACCGTCTGAGTTAACGTTGATGAAAGTAAACCATTTGCGTCATAAAATATCCTAAAAAATAATAAAAATACAACAAAAAACTCAATGGCTTGAGTCCGCAAGCGAACTATACCGATCGAGGGACCGTCGCTTGTCGGCGAAGTTAGTGCCAACTTTAGCGCAACGAATCCCCACGGCCGTTAATTTCGGTTTTCTAGACCGGAGCCGCTCAATAATAAAAAGGAAATAATCAGTGTGCGGGAGTGGGAGGTTCCTTAAGACTCACATCCGACAAATATTCTCAGAGCCTACTCATCATTAGTGTTGCATCCCCATTGCGCGTTCAGTTTACGCGGTTGGTCCTAAGCACACCATGACTATGTAATGTGGTTTGCCGCCGTTCATACAGGTGTGGTTCCAGAATGCGAGAGCCAAATGGAGGCGCAACCTCATGCGACAGGACGCCGGCCAGCAGCAAGTGGGGGCGGGCAGCACCAACAGCACCGCCGCCGGAGGCCCCCCATCGGTAGGCTCAGCCTCCGTCATCCTGGGAGACAGCAATAGCCTGCCTCCCTCCGAAGAGGTACACCATCACCACCATCACGCCCAGACAACGCAGACCCTCAGCTTCGGAGACCTGTACTAGCCACCCCGTTCACCGCACCGCGCGTGCGCGATAGAGTTCCTACAGATATCCCCCCCGAATGTAGCAGTGTACATACGGATCTTTCTCTAAGGTTTGTGACACAGGTTCATACGAGGGCAAGATGCGATTATGATACATATGTCTCGACGTTAATTCATTCTCTCTCCCTCTGGAGCATAGGACATCTGTGAAACGGTTCCTTTCATTTCGGTTTCTTAGACAGTCAGCAGGGCTCCTTGGACGGGGGATCGGCCCTATCACAAGCAGCTACCTGAACAGGACAACAAAAAACATAGAATGAAAGTAGACAAACATTTATGCCTCTAGTCGGATTCGAACGCATGACTCCAGTGTTCGAGCGGGTGAAGACAGTTGATGACTTAGACCGTGCGGCCGGCCTCTGTGATCAGTTTTCGACGTTTAGTAAAGGAATATTCAATGAATCCCGGACTGAAATGAAACGAAATGTAAGATAAGTAAATAAGCCGTCAATATGAGATTAGAACCAACTTCCGAAACGTCGTGTACACTATATATACCTCAGACAATGTGTAAAATAACTGTGTCTTGCCATCGTCCGGCTTTACCCCAATTCCGAGACGTAAGAAGAGAAGACACACAGGTTAGCATATGACGTAGCGGAGGAAGTGACATCATGGCTGCATTTTAGTTGGAAAGAATACTTATCACATTTCCTTTATAGCATTGGTAGGCCGCAGAGAAACATTTGTGATATATTCGTTATAATTTTTCTTTTTTATTTGTAGGTCTTCGTGTAGTCTATGTAACACAACTGCTGATATACAGGGCGATTCTAAATTATTTCCGAGGTTCCAGTTTACAGGCCACGGAAATACCGACAATTTAGAATCACCCTGTATATCTAACGTTTTTAAACCTGGCCACTCTCAGTGGATTTGGTAGAATCCACTAACTGACATAAGGATTGTAGTATGTGCATGGATTATGGCTGGGCCTTAGTTACAGTTAAGTTCTCTTCTTGCCAACATCGAAGCTGCAACCACTGCCCCTTTACGTCTAAACATCTTCATTTCTCTTTATGTCCAACCGGGGGCCAGGTATAAAAATACGGTCTGTATGATTTTATTTCATATTTAAATATTTTTTCACGCTAAAAATGTCAATGTTCTGGTAATCTTCTACATTATACTGGCCAGGAATAACTTAAAATATACACTATCCAAAACATTTTTGAGGGCATACCATCATTCAGCCTCGAAATTATTAAAAATTTTATTATTGGTTTCATGACGGTTGGTATTAAATCGTGAAATCTATAGACGACAGTTCCTAGGATCACAGCATAGGAGACTTGTTTTTTCTTCCGTAAAGTTGGCTGCCTGACGTATGACGTACACTTGAAGATGTCTTGGAGAAAGTATAAGAGATAAAGATTGACCAAGAACTCATGGCGATTCCTTGCGTCAGGGGTTGCTTTGAATTAGGAGGAAAATGGACGGAGGCTGAATGCTATCTGCTATCTAGTTTCCACAATTCTCATCCAACTAAATGGACACTCAGTACCTAGGATAGGCCACGGCCACTTCTTGCCAGAATATTTGTAATTCACCTACAAGTACACCATTTGACGATGTGTAGTCAAGTTATTGGAAACGTCGTAAAATGGGACGCAAAATAAAGAAAGAAATTCACGGATAATTCGAACGAATATATGGCTTCCATCTTCACAGCCGAAGATTAAGCCAAAGAACCAGTAAGAAGCAAACAGGCTCCCTTTGCTGCTCGTTTCTTGCTGAATCTTCATTCCTGAATATGGAGGCAGTATATTCATCCGAAACGTCTGTGAAATTATGCCAGAGTACTAAGAATCGCATCCCACAAGGCAACCACTCTTTATAGTTTAACGCTGTGAGAACCTGAAGTCCAAAGGTAAAAGTAAGGTTGTCCTTGTGCTTAAATAATCAAGCACAACGCCATGAAGGTGTATGGGGGGTGGATATATTGATCCACATTTTCTTGACCTCGGCACTAGCTGGAGGTGAGTGGTCAGCTTCACGTCCCGGCCGCTTTACCCCACGGAAAGAACCCCCGGAACGCATTGCAGAGGAGGCTGGGTGGGCCCCAAAGCTGATCTGAACGACATGGAGAAGAGTAAATTCTTAACCCTACCGTGACTCGAACCCCGACTCCTTGGCCGTCCAGCCCTAAAATCCAACAAAACAAATTTAAATAACAGACATACCTAATTACGATCACAATGCAGATAAATGCTTCTTGATTGGACAGTTTCGCTCGTCGGCCGTAACTACACGGCCAGGGCGTTTGTCCACAGCTGATCTGACATTCGTACGGTAACACTTGGCAAAATGAGACACGTATTTCTGCACATCAGCCACGAGTTCTTGGTCGCGCTATAGGAAGCCTGTTTCTGTGATTGTATAAAAACTTATGTACTTTTAAAAATGGACACCATTTCAGAATCAACTGTGAAATGGTCTTTCTTCAACCTTATTTATTTATTATTAAAGAAAATGATCAGAAGTGGTAATTACCGACTAAATAAACATCACTACACATCACAAGACCCTGTTCAGTGTTACTATATTATCAGTTACCCTGTTTGTCTTCCTCATTTCCTTTGCATTTCCTTTTGAAGTTTAAAGAAGAGAACCGCATGACATTTTGATTTCAAAAAGAAAAAAAAATCTATTTTTATAATGATTCTCATTAAACGCCTTTATTTTATCCGCGTTTTCGCATATCCACGGTTTCATTTCAGTCTCACGATAAGCGTCAGGTGTCCTGTACGCGGTTACGGTAGAAGCTGCTGCGGATGACCAGTGAGTTGCGCGCGCAGTCTCCCTGACTCGCCCCCACCATTATGAGTCAGTCACGTTTCATACTCCTTCACTACTGCTCTCAATGTTAATTCGGCGCATTAGCAGTTTTACGCGTTTTGAATGTACGCGGTAATTAACTTCCCCAGTATAATGAGATTCACCTCAATGTACGATATTAAGGAAAAGTGCGCCTCTAAGGAAAGGTTTTATATATATTCTTTAATGTTATGACAGTGACAGGAAACTACTGCACACTGACATGTGACTAATACACGAACAGAAGTTGTTGGTACGTTGATTAGTTAGTTAATTGCTTACATTTCTTAAGGGAGAAAATTAGTTAGGGCTATTTTGTCAACATCTCTTATTAGCTGGCTGCACGCCCTTTAGGAAGAAATTTAGTTAGTAAACGTTTCTTTGTCAACCAGTTAGAGAGTCTACTGATCAATTAGTTAACTAGTTACTTTGTTTCCTAGTTATCTTGACGTTTAGTCAGATAAATAGTTGGTTAGCCTGGACTATTTTTATTAACTAGTTACCTGATGTTCATTAATTATTTAACTGCTTATTTATTTATTGTTAGCTAAGTTTTCAATTACACTTGATAGCTATAAAATGTGCATCTGTTAAAAAGTTAGATGATGAATTGATTATTCAGTTAATTGGTTAATTTGTTTAGTAGTTAAACAGACGTTTAGCAAGTTACAACTTCTTTATTAGCTAAACAGATGGTCAGTTCATTAGATACTAAGTGAGTCAGTTGTGTACTTGACTTAATAGTTAGCTAGCCGGTTAATTAGTTATGTATGAATCCAGCAGTTTCCACAGTAACTGAATGTAAACATACATACGAGTTTCTACCCCGAATAATTCGCTTCATACATCGACAATTCTTCACTGCAGTCATGTAACTTTGTTATATTGTTAGTTAGTTAGTTGGTTGGTTGCGAGCCTCGCTGCCATGGACTCCCCAAGTCAGACGAAGACAGGTGAATTAATGGCACACAGAAGCAGGTTTTGTGGCCTGCCACTTTGTTGTGGAATCCAAGTTTAAAAACATCGCAATTCAGGTTGGTTCGTGAGATGTCCAACCAGAGATAAGAGCATAAAAAGGGAAACTAATCTTCGGATGCTTGAAATGTGGTCACCGTGCTTTTATAATCGTTTCAACTTCTCAGATACATTTCGAATTCCTCCGGTTTATGAGGTCAGCACAATGAAAGACAGGCTGGAGGGAGTGGCCATACTTGTAAGCTGAGGACAGCGGCCTTCCGGCGAGAAACCAAGCTCTCTGCTATGGTATGTGGCCCAATGAAATGTTCTACGTGCACCAGAGCGTCCCACATACATGCACGCACGCACACACACACACAAATTAATCCAATGGAGCGAAGTCCTTGAGAAATCAACACTTGTTGTAGCTACCAAAAAGAAACCTCAGGATTATAAGGACACCAAAAGGTTCATATTCATGTTCAAAATAGCCTTTTACTTACTCGTACCCAAAATCAGATGAATCCACTCGATACCCTGTCATCTAAGTCTATGTCTTCCTAGTTGTCGCTTTCTTTCGGGTTTTAGGAGCAAAAACTTTGAATGTATCTCCTATGCGTGCCACATGACCAGCACGTCTCATCTTCCTTGATTTGATTATATTAATAATATTGGGCGGGTGAGTAAAAATTATAAAACTTCTCATTATGTAATTTTCTACCCTCTTGGCTACAAATATCCTTCTCTGCAACCTGTTCTGAAAGACAGCCTATGTTCATCTTTTAATGTGAAGTACCGAGTTCCACACCCATCTATCTATCCGTCTATCTGTCCGTCCGTCCATCCGTCCATGGCTCTACAGCCCTTCTGTTAAACCTTGGCCTCTTTTTCAGTTTCTTAATTCTATACATACTCGATAGGACTCCTTGGACGGGGATCAGCCCATCGCAAGGCCCCTACCTACACACAGAACAAAACAAACTCACAAGAAATGCACACAGACATCAATGCCTCGAACCCACGGTCCCAGTGTTCGAGAGAGAGAAAACAGCTCACACCTACACAAATATAAATATAAATCCATGAAACCTCTCAGTAGCTAGCAGATTCTGAAGGGTCCTGACGATGGTGTATAACACTCAGTATTGATGAGTGTATTCTAAAGAACACAACGTTTCGGACACAGCATCTGTTTCCGTCCTCAGTCCAGTAATTAGTATTAGCTCTTTCTAAGGGACCCAACAGAGCATGTGTCTCCAACGCTCTTACCTGAGGATGGAAATAGATGCAGTTTCCGAAACGTTGTGTTCTTTAGAATACCGGGCGATGGGCAAGCACAGACACTCAGTTATCCCAATGTTCAGTCCCCGCTCTCCTATTCCTGTAACAGGCCGTGAAGGCCCACAGGGTTGTGAGACGCTGAGGTTCCCACATTATCTAGACAATCGGCTCAAAGAGGGCGGTAAGGTCGTCAGCCTTAAGCGCCGGCCGCCCTTTACCCCCCAGGAAGATTCCTGGTACTCATTTCTGATAGAGGCTGAGTCGACCCCAGGGGCACAGTGCGGCTGGAAGGATTAGGTCAATTGAAAAAATCCAATGATCTCATCGGGACTTGAACCCGCGACCTTCCGGCTTGTAGCATAGTGCCTCAACCAACTACGCTACCGCGTGCCTCCACATATACATAGGTACATTATATAATACATGCGGACGTGTGTACTAGTGTTCACGAATTCAAGGCAAATTAGTATTTCAGTTGGCGCAGTAAAAAACGTACAATAAAGTAAAGTAAAGTAAAGTGACGGATCAGAAATAGATTCTCATATATTCACAATATACAGAATGCCCTAGGAGGAGCGGTAAATATTCTGGGAGGTCAAAACGTACTATGTAGATTGTCCTTTCCACACTTTCCACGACAACAGAGCTTCTACTGTTGGGGAAGCGTGTTGCCTAGCAATGGCTCTATACGACACAATACTCTATCTAGTGACAGCGACGTAGAATAGAAAGAGCAGTCTACAGTGAACGCGGGTAACAAGTACCAAGAGAACCAGTGGCAATTTATTTTTTTCAAAATCAGATGGTAGATTGACGTGAATGAATGTGGACGTGGGGCATCAGCTGACAGAAGCGTCCGCTTGGTGGCTCCGTGCCACCGGTGGGGGGACCGTCACATAAACTGGATGGGTCCCAATGGTACGACTATGGAGGGACATCGACCTCCACCGGAACAAGAGTTAACAAAAATCATCAAATAAAAAAAAACTCGGCCCAAGAACTCGCGGTTCGATAATCAAAAGAAAAGGTCAAGAAGGAAGAATCGAGTTTATACGGCGCCATTCTTTTGTTTCTTTATTTTCTCCTCTTCTTCTTCTTTTTACGTAGTTGCGTTTCGATGCCGTTCGAGGGTGGCCCCGGCGTATCCGGTCCGAAGACAAAACACATGTTGCAGCGTCATTCTGCTCATGCAGTAGCTCCTATATACTCACATATGTAATACTAAGCTGTTAGCTATGTCAGTGCAAAATGAGCGTAACTGATGCTTGTACAAGACAAAGGGTGGAAATAGCTTCTCACAACTAAGTAGGCGCTAGAGTGCCAGTTCAGAACTAAGCAGACGTAACAATTCAGAATTTGATAGACGTGCCGGTTCAGAACTAAGCAGACGTACCAATTCAGAATTTGATAGGCGGACCAGTTCAGAACTAAGCAGACGTAACAATTCAGAATATGATAGACGCGCCATTTCAGAACTAAGCAGACGTAACAGTTCAGAATTTGATACACGTGCCAGTTCAGAACTAAGCAGACGTAACAATTCAGAATTTGATAGACGCGCCAGTTCAGAACTAAGCAGACGTAAACATTCAGAATTTGATAGACGTGCCGGTTCAGAACTAAGCAGACGTACCAATTCAGAATTTGATAGGCGGACCAGTTCAGAACTAAGCAGGCGTAACAATTCAGAATTTTATACACGCGCCAGTTCAGAACTAAGCAGACGTAGCAATTCAGAATTTGATAGACGCGCCAGTTCAGAACTAAGAAGACATAACGATTCAGAATTTTGGAGACCCACCAGTTCAGACGTAAGCAGACGTAACAATTCAGAATTTTACAGATAC